GAGAAAGAATATATGAAAACAATTCCATTTACAAGAGCCTCAAAAAAAAATCAAATACCTATGTGTAAACCTAACAAATGATGTGAACGACCTCCACAAGGAAAGCTATAAACTTCTGAAGAAAGAGATTGAGGAAGACTATAGAAAGTGGAGAGATCTCCCATGCTCATGGATTGATAGAATCAATATAGTAAAAATGTCTATACTCCCAAAAGTAATCTACATGTTTAATGCAATTCCCATCAAAATTCCAATGACATTCATTAAAGAGATTGAAAAATCTACCGTTAAATTTATATGGAAACACAACTGCCAAATAGCCAAGGCAATACTCAGTCAAAAATAACAACGCTGGAGGTATCACAATACTTGACTGAAAACTATATTACAAAGCAATAACGATAAAAACAGCATGGTACTGGCACAAAAACAAACATGAAGACCAGTGGAACAGAATAGAGGACCCAGATATGAAGCCACACAACTATAACAACTTGTCTTTGATAAAGGAGCTAAAAAATATACGATGGAGAAATAGCAGCCTCTTCAACAAAAACTGCTGGGAAAACTGGTTAGCAGTCTGTAAAAAACTGAAACTAGATCCATGTATATCACCCTATACTAAGATTAACTCAAAATGGATCAAGGATCTTAATATCAGACCCCAAACTCTAAAGTTGGTACAGGAAAGAGTAGGAAATGCTTTGGAATTAATAAGTATAAGTAAGAACTTTCTCAATGGAACCCCAGCAGCACAGCAACTAAGAGATAGCACAGATAAATGGGACTTCATAAAACTAAAAAGCTTCTGCTCAACAAAAGAAATGCTCTCTAAACTGAAGAGACCACTCACAGAGTGGGACAAAATATTTGCCAGCTACACATCAAAGGACTGATAACCAGAATACAGGGAACTTTAAAATATAAATTCTCCCAAAATTAATGAACCAATAAAGAAATGGGCAAGTGAACTAAACAGAACTTTCTCAAAAGAAGAAATTCAAATGGCCAAAAAACATATGAAAAAATGCTCACCATCTCTAGCAATAAAGGAAATACAAATGAAAACCCACACTAAGATTCCACCTCACCCCTGGTAGAATAGCCATCATCATTTGCAACACCACCACCAACAGGTGTTAGCGAGGATGCGGGGGAAAAAGGAACCCTCTTACACTGCTGGTGGGAATGTAAACTAGTACAACCACTCTGGAAAAAAATTTGGAGGCAACTTAAAAAGCTAAACACTGATCTACCATATGATCCTGCAATACCACTCTTGGGGATATACCCAAAAGAATGTGACACAGGTTACTCCAAAAGCACCTGCACACCCATGTTTATTGCGGCACTATTCACAATAGCCAAGTTATGGAAACAGCCATGATGCCCCACTACTGACGAATGGATTAAGAAAATGTGGTATTTATACACAATGGAATTTTATGCAGCCATGAAGAAGAACGAAATGTTATCATTCGCTGGTAAATGGATGGAATTGGAGAACATCATTCTGAGTGAGGTTAGCCTGGCCCAAAAGACCAAAAATCGTATGTTCTCCCTCATATGCGGACATTAGATCAAGGGCAAACACAACAAGGGGATTGGACTTTGAGCACATGATAAAGAGAGAGCACACAAGGGAGGTAGGAGGATAGATAAGACACCTAAAAAAAAAAACTAGATAGCATTTGTTGCCCTCAATGCAGAGAAACTAAAGCAGATACTTTAAAGGAACTGAGGTCAATAGGAGAAGGGGACCAGGAACCAGAGAAAAGGTTAGATCAAGAAGAATTAACCTAAAAGGTAACATACATGCACAGGAAATCAATGTGAGTCAACTCCCTGTACAGCTATCCTTATCTCAAGTAGCAAAAACCCTTGTTCCTTCCTATTATTACTTATACTCTGTCTTCAACAAAATTAGCGATAAGGGGAAAACAATTTCTGCTGGGTAGTGAGGGGGTGGGGGGGGAAATGAGGGGATGCATGATTACAATCACAGATTTCAATACCTTTATGCAGCAAGTATGTATGCAATAAAATTTAGTATTATTGAACAACTTGACCTGACTGAGTTTATGAACTATTTCTATCCAAAAACAATAGAATACAGAGTTCTTCTGAAGTGCACCCAGCATATTTATCAAAACAAACCATATTCTGGCCATAAACTAAGTCTGAATAAATTAAATTAAAAAGGATTCATACTGTACATGTACAACATATGATTATGCTTAATAAAAATATATCATACATTTGAAAACTGCTTACCACAGTGTGTGTATATATATACATAGTAATAGATATGTTAATTACATTGTATTCTTGTATCAAAACATATTATATCCCATAAATGCACACAATTTTTATTTTTAAATAAATAAAATCAACTGAAAAATTCTAAAGGATTCAAACCATGCAAATTATGTTATCTGACTAAAACTCTGAAACCAGATAGACCCTTGAAAAACCTCCTCGTGTTTGGAAATTTAATTCATTACAATATTACCTATGGGTAAATGAAAGACTAAAGAAATAATAAAAATACAACATATGAAAATGTGTGGGATGTCACTAAAGCAATATTCAGGGGGAAATTCATAGTACTACATGCCCATATTAGAAAATAAGAAAGGTTTCAATTCAATGACCTCAGCTTCCACCTTATGAAACAAAAGATAAAAGCAAATTAAAAAGCAGAAATAATGAATAACAATCAAAGCACAAAGCAGTAAAAAATGAAAAAAAAAAATCAATAAAACCAAGCTGGTTCTTTCAAAAAAGGTCTATAAATCTGTAAATCTACTAGACATACTAATCTGGAAAAAAAGAAAAATATATAAATTATGAATAATAGAAGTGAAAGAACACAGATAATTTCATGTCCTAAAACTTTTTGCTTAATTTTGACAGAAAGTTCGCTCAAGGAAAATTTTGTGTAGAATGATAGATAGATAGATAGATGTGTTTCATATATATATAAATATATATATATTGTTACATATATATTGTTTATATATATGTAACAATTTAAAATCTGTACTTAAAAACCTTCTCATAAAGAAAACTACAGGCCTACAAACTTTCATTAATGTATTAGACAAAGTAAATAAGGAAAAATAATATCTACACAAACACTTACAGAAAAATTAAAAGGAAAGAAAATGGATCCCTTCCAAACCCATTCTGTGAGGACAGCATCATACACTGTTGCCAAAATTGCACAAAGACATTCTCAAAAGTGAAAATTGCACACAAAGTCCCTCACAAGCACATACACAGAAACTCTTAAGAAATTTTAGCAAACTGAATTTAACCATATATAAAACAGGTAATTCGTTATGACAATGTGTTCCATATCAGAGTTGCTTTAAAACAAAAAAGTCAGTATCCTTTGCTTAAGATAATAGTGGAGAAAAATGATTTAATCATTTAACATTTTAAGACACAACATCTGACTAAAGCTAATATCCATTCAGAATAAGGGAAAAACCTCAACAAACTAGGAATATAAGGGAACTTCCTCAACCTGATCAAAGGCATGTTAGAAAAATATAAAAACAATACCATTCTTTAGTTTTAAAAATGGCTGAATAAATTGTGTTTTATTCATTCAACAGAATAATATACAACAATGAAAATGAACAAACTATAGTCAAATGCATTTCCGATTTCATACTTCTGTATTAGGGATGCTCAACCTGTAGTGCCTTTGAGAGGGGAAGGGGTATGACTGGAAGGAACATATACAGTGCTTCTGAAGTTCTGGGAACATTCTATTCCTTGTCTAGGATGTAGTTACAAGAGAGTTCAGCTCATAAAAATCACTGGGCAATACATGTATGCTTTGTGCCCTTTCTGAATGTATATTATTACACATGCATTTTAAGTTATCTATCTAAAACTATTGTGTAATTTTATATAGTTTAATATAAACTATCACAAAATGACTGCATATAACTTTAATTAGATGACAGGGAAATGTGAAAGGTGACCATTAGAAATGAAGGATTATATGTGAAGGACAAAAGCGGTTTACAGAGTCTGGGGATTATCACCTATAAAGAGAACCAACAGACGGCTCTTACTATTGTCTGAAAATCAAGTACAGCATTGAAGAATGTTAAAGTACCAAATAATCACTAAAAGAGATGAGAGTATCTGTCGTAGGAAATGGGAAAACTGTACATATGAAGTTGGGGCCTACTGTTTATCTAACAAACCTTGCAGAACTACTAAAAACAAAAACAGAAGGAAAAATGGCAACTCTCAGATGTCACCATTTATAAACAGAATGTTCATCAACATATTTCTTGCTACTTCTTCACTTCTGTTTATCACATTCTATGAGAGTCAGCATTAACTCTTGACCTAAAACAAAGTTCTCTCAGCAGGAGTGACACCACAGCTTTCTTGGTTAGATTGTTTGTCACTATTAAGGAGTATAACAGATATGCACAGGAATATCTGAGATCTTTAGTAATATTCAGAAATCTATAGGAACAATTAACAAAAAAAAAAAAAGAAACTCAACCTTTCTTTCCTCCTATCCTCTTACAAAACACAAAACTAAAAATGAAGCCTGTGGTACACAATGATTTAAATAAATAGAATAGCTTAATAAGTATTTCGACTAGTGAATCACAATGTATAAAACTACTGGTAAATGGCAGTATTAGCTATAGTATGGACCAATGAATTTAAACATTACTAAATGCAGTTTAAAAGCAGCTATAACTTTAAAGCTCAAGACATACACAACTAAACACTAGTGTTGTCAAGTTAAAGTACCCCTAATGCATAAAAATTAGGCCAATGACTGTATAATAAAATTATATGAAATATGCTCATTTATCAATTTCTAAATAAATCTGATTTATTTTTAGCTGACATCTTAATTATCCATATTTACATCTGGAATATAACAACTTTTCTCTCTTTTAACAATCTGAGACAAACAAAATATTATGATTATACATTAGCTATGTCTCCTCAGTTTCTAGAGCTGAAATGTCATGTCAATTACTTAGTAAGATTTAATTTTACCTTGTTTAATCTGTCCTTGCACAATATTACTGGAAGTTGGAGGGGAACCCCTTGCCTTAGAAAGATCTGGGGTGCTTGGTCTAGGTGGCCTTTAAAAACAAGAAGAAAATACATGTTTATATACTTTCACATTTTCACATTTCCAGAACTATTTAAAGTGTCATTTTCTAGATTCAACTGAATCACAAACACACAGAATTCTTTCAATTTACTGTTCCAAAAAGATGATAATTTGTTGGTTTTGTACCTCCTCATCATTTCCATTTTAAATTTTGATAAAATCATTGCATGATTAGTAACTTGCAAAAAGTTTACATCTGTAATTTATACACTGTTAGTTTCAGAACTACTTAAAAACACTCCAATGAACTACAATTGACAGATAAATATCATTCTTAGTCTACCCATTCTTCAATAGTGACATGCTGAAATTTCAGCATACCCTAACATCAGTGATCCAAATAAATTCATGTAATAATTTATTTTAAAAGTATTCAGCCCTAAAATATAAAAAAGACAATAAGGCTCTAAGAAATCTCAGACCCTGAAGGTAGACTGTCTCCACGTGAATTCTGGCTCTACCACGTACTAGCTACCTGACCTTCAGCAAATTCCTTCACCTCTTCATGTCTCTTTTCTCATCAGTGATAAAGGAATATTAAAAGTATCTACCTTACAGGGTTAAGGGAACTAATGAGATAATTTTTGTAAAGTAATTAAAACAGAGCTTTACACAATGTAGATGTTACATAAATATGTTAGGTTAAAAAAATTAAACTGAAAAATTCTTCATATGGTCAACTCTCAATAGAGTATAATAAAAAGTTTTGTCTTCCTAATTTGGGAAAACAGAAAACAGCATTTGGGAGAAGTATTCTAAAAACATCAAAATAGTGTTGTACATTTTAAAAAGTTGTTTTCTCTTTCTCATTGAAAAATTCTGATTATACTTCTAACATAATTCTGAAGCCAACCACTGAACATACATCATTCATTGCATATGGGTTACAATGAGAAGTATTTTAACCTACCATGCATTTTGAATTGAATGTCAGTGAGAACTTCTAGTAGCTTCAATTTTAAGACTATATTTACTAAAGAGCAAGTCTATATGACCAACTGCTACAATCTAAAATCTTTTTTGAGCAGCTACTAAATACGTGTGTGTATATATATGTGTACATAAAAGTTTATAATTTATGTTTTAAAACAGGCATTTTTGTAAACATTTTAAAATTTAAAAGGGGAAACACTGAGCTAATACTCAAATGGTGACAGTATATAGAGCCAAAACAACTTTAATAGTAATAAATAATGGCAAAAATAGAGCCACTTCTTTTTTTAAACTTAAGAGGAAAAATTAAGCTCTCATGGTCACACCTGGTTGGTCCCTTCTTCATATGATCACCAATGAAAGTTGCATTGGTCATACTCATTAAAGTATTTGCCAGAGATATGATAGACAGGAGATGTTGGGTGGTGACTGCACGAGACACTCCATAAGTTCCCTTTCCTGCTCCCTCAGGTGCTGGCAGCCTCCTTCCTACTTCCGGTTTCCCATGAGGTAGTTTACAGGATGCCTGATTATAACCAGGAAGCATCAGTGACATATGACCTCCTCGGGATAAAAGGCCAAATGACACTGAGCAGTGTGGCTTCAGCATTCCAAGGCGATCAAGACAAACTTCATCCAGAACTTCATTCAAACCCCAAGCATGAAGGCAGGACATGAACAACTTTGCAGTGTCCATGGTTAAATTATATTCTAGTAAGGTCAATGGCTTGGATTTGCTGGTCCGATATTCAGGATCGCTTTCCTCCCTTCTCTGCCTCATTGTTTCCTCGTCCTCATCTTCCTCATCAAGGAGGTGTTCCTTTATGTTCTCTTTGATAGTTTCTTTCACTTGTTGGAAGAGAACTGCTGCTCGTTTTCCAGTTAGAAAAGAGCCCCCTTTGTCTGCATTGCCAGATGCTTTTTGCAAATTCTCTGGGGAAATAAGTGCAGTATTCGGCCTAGAGGCTTCTTCAGTCAGGAGTTGAATAATCAACGCTTCCACATCAAAGAAAAGCACATGTATGTCTGGGTCTGTTAGGTTTGTCTTTATTGCTTGAACCATCAGGGAGTTATGAGAATATTTAGGTAAATTGCCCTGCAACAAATATTTTTAAAAGATGGTTATAATTAAGAGTGCTTAATTCAACATTCATTAATAAACAGATAACAAAATTAAAATACTTAGGATTTTTAGGGTTCTATAACATTAAATACAACACTTTAACTTAGCCTATCAGCAGCCTGTAAAAGACATGAACTGATACAATTAAAAGAACTTCATGACAAAAGTCATAAATCTGTCAAATAATTAAAAACATGAAACATTTATTACTGAAGCAGAAGTCTCTTTATTCATGCAACAGGTTAAAAGTTGCTTCAATAACTCATATGCAAAATCTCTCTTAAGATGAACTACTATTCGATCTGAAAGAATAATCTGTTATTATATCTGTTATTATATCACAGCTGCTGATCCTTTTAAGTTAATCAAATCCTTCCTTCCTTTTCTATTTTACCTTTAATCTCTCCCTGTTCACAGATTCCTTTCCCTCCATAATGAACACATTCAAATCTTTTTTTCCTTACATACTAAAAATGTGTCATCCTGACTACTGCCTCTTCTATTTCTCTCCCTCTTCACTGTCCTTCTCAGCCAAATTTACTGAAAGTGATAGTAAACTCATCCAACGGCAACTCGTCAGTCTATTGTCTTCGCAGTATCCCATGGTTTTGCTAAGAGACTTGAATGTACTTTTGGTGAGTCTAACACACATACCACCACCACCACCATCGCTCAGCCACTCAGATAACTCATTCTTTCTCTCACATTAGAACTATCACCTATGTGAAGATGGCTACCTCATTCCAGCCAGACATCAACTGAAGGAATTCCAGTCCACATTTCCAACTGCTTGCATTTGGATGTCCCACAGCACCTATTATTTAAATGTGTTCACTGTCACACTCCTACTAAACCTACTGCACCTCCTGAATCACCAGGAATCAGTCTTTTCTACTCCAGTGAATTCACAGAAATTCAGATCCTCATCATTGATCAGCAAGGCCAATTTCACTGGCCCTCATCTCACTTCATTCCTGTGACCTCCAGAGCCACATATTTCTAAAAATCTTATAAAATCATTTAAATTGTTGATTGATTCTTCCATAATAAAATTATAAATGAATCTCCTTAACTGGTCTCTCTTGTGCCTCTATTTTTCTCTCATCTGACTTTTTTCCTAGTTTCAGTGGCATCCATAGTATTTTATAACTCAAGGACAAAATCCAGACTTCTTGGCAAAGCACAAAAAACCATTCAAAATATATTACCACCTTATCCTCCAACTTCATTTCTAACCATTAGCCCTGTAACTTCTTTTGTCAAATCAAATCACTTGCCCTTTCCAAATCCAAATAGTTTCAAACATTTGCATCTTTGCAAGTGCTTAGGCCAGGATCATACTCCTTCCCCAATCTCCCTGTTGTCATTCAAGATACACATACTTCTACCCATTCTTCAAGAACTATCTCTCTCCAGTGTTCTTCTCCCAAAAATTACTTACAAAATTCCTCAACCAGATCTTACAATTGCCTCCTTTGTATAAACTTCTGTTAGTTGAATGATGTTTAAAGGAAGGGAAAATATAAATATTTCTACGTATATGAAATAGAACTATGAAACTGCTTGCAACTGTTTTAAGGGAGGTGGGAGAGGGTTGAGGGGGGCAAGAAATGATATGACCTACCAATGTATAATGTAAGACTATTCAGAATTGTCATGATCAATCTCCCCCATACAATGAATATATAAAAATGAAAAAATATAAATATTTCTATTCTACAGTCAAACAACCTAAGGGGCATAATACATATATATATATATATATATATATGAACAAAAATATAAAATTACATATATTAAGTAAAAACTCAAGATTTTATGAATCTCATTTCTGTATTTAATTCATTCATTTCACATGCACCTACATGCTTATTGTATATTGTATTCTTTTTTCTTGCAAGGCACTGAGAATACTAAGATGAACAAGAAAAAATTTTTCTAGTTATGGAACTCAGAACTAGCAGATAATGACATGAAATAATAATGTAGTATGAATGATGCTAAAAATAAAGGGGATTGCCAGAGATAAGAAAGAATATAATGGAGCAAGTGCCAACTGTGCCTATGGTAACCAGGGAGCTCCTCACAGAAGCGTTAACTTGAGCTATGAAAGAGCACTCTTGCAGCAAGAAGGCAGGATGTGACACAGACAGGGGTAGGAAATCACATGACAGATTCTCATGACACCACAGGTGATCAAGATGAAAAATGCACGGAACAGTTCACTAGCAGGAGGAGCAGGAGCACTTAGGAACAAACACTAAGGCTTTTGAAGTTGCAAGCCAGGGAGCCACTAGAGCAATACTTTTCTAAGAATCATCAGGGTTGTTTGTGAAATAGAGGTTCTGGAGTCTGACACCTGACCTGATTAAGTACATCTGGGAATGTGCCAGAATCTGTCTAGAGAGTATTCCAGATGACTTTATGTAGTAAAGTCTGAGAACTACTGCCAAATGAGGGGAGTAACATGATCAAATTTAATTACATAAATGTTTATTACCATCAATGTCAACAAAAAAGGAGCAAGATGAGAATCATGAAATGGTAGGCAACCAGAAGCCATCCAGATGAGCGAAGATAAAAGTTTAATAGCACTAAGAATGTACCAGATAGGTAAAAATGTAGAAAACATACATTACTTTTATGTCTCACAGCATTGTGCTTTATATTTGCATTTTGGGACACTGAACTGGAAATGTCAGACACAATTTAATGTTTTTTACCCACCAACACTAATTTGAGTGAATTATACATAAAATTATACAAACATATTGAATATAATATTGATATAAAAGTTACTAATAATGATAGCTGCTATATACTAAGATCTTGCGACAGCCCAGGCACTACGCTAGGTATTAGGGTTGGCTATGTCATAGCAAAAAAATATCATCTTATATCAATATCAAGCAGACAGGCCTAATACGGTATGAAGGAATATGTAACAACATTACATAAAACAAAGAGTCCTCCATAGGGCTTTAGCAGATACTATCTTTCCAGTAAAGATCTGCAAAAATGTTTTAGGGAAAAGATACAGACCATATCAACCAAAGAATATAAAAAAAAATGTGTTTGGCAAAGAAATTATGGGAGCAGGAAGAATGGCTTAAAGAGAAAAGAAAGCAAGAGTGAAGACACGAGGCCAACTTTTAAGCCTTCTCATCTGATGGAAGCCACACATGTGCCCCTTTTAGCACTTCCAGGACAGCCTGTGTTTCTCTCTCTTTCTGGAGATGTGCCAGCAGACAGCCATGTGTTTGGATAGCAAAAAGGTTATCTAGTTTCTGGTACCATGACACCTGAATGTCACAACCTCTTAGGGCCACTGATCGTGTCTTGTGACAAAAATTATACCCAACCACAGAAAAAAAATTTAAAAAAAGAAATGACTATACCAAAAAAAAACAGAAAAAAATCAAAGGAAGAGAAAGGGAAAAAAAAGGAGAGAAAATAACTCATCACCAGGTTCTGTAGATGAGCTATCATTTCTAACATTGATAAGGTTTGCATAATCTGTAATGCCTGATAACCAATTTTACTAATTTAATTAAGTCTCGTTAGAACAAAATATAGATATACAGCAAAGCTGCAAGAATAGCTTGGCTAATATGTGGAGATGGCAGAGTTAATCACTATCATGACTGAAATTCTAACATGGTATATACTACGATTAGCTACAGAGAAATGGACAAAATTATCAAATTCCAAGGATCTCTTGGCTTTGCCATAGGCATACATGTTTAGACCAAACTAATTCATTCAAATTATCATATATTTTTAACAATTTCAGATACAGGCTATCTGATGTAAAAAATTCTAATCTTTACTTCTAGTAAATAAAGACTGCTTTTCCATCTTTATTAAGAACAGCTATTAGGTGTGTTTACAAATTCACCTTTAATTTATAATGGAAGAAGATTAAATTTAATTGAATAAATATTTGTGCAGAGCCTATTATTTACAATATGCTAGAGAGAAAACAGTCTCTGTCCCCCAAAAAAATAGCTTAAAAACTATTGTTGACAAAGGTCAACAAGGAAAGTTAAATCATAAAATATATACAAATAAAATGTTCTCTAATTTGCTAGGAAAACTCAAGGATAACTACAAAATATATACACACTTAGTGTTTTACACTAGTAAAACATATATTTGTCATTTTGGTTTTAAATACCAAATCTATTATAACTTTGTATTTTCTGTTTATGATAAAATACAGATTTAGCCATTTCAGATGTCTTAAAATATAACAGAAATGCAGTTATAGGGAAAAATTATTGGATTGGTTATTCATTACTGAAAGTGAATCTGTGACAAACATTAAAGAGTAGCAGGCAAAACTGTGTCTCAAGCAAAACCCCCCAAAAAATAACAGAACTCTTATCATAAGGTTAATCTTTTTTCAAGAACAGGTATTCTCAGTGTGTATGCACATGTAAGCACACACAGAAACACAACACAGGCCAGATGCAGTAGCCCCCAGCAACAAAAAAGCAATAATTTAGAATCTGCGGAGAAAAACTGTTGATGTATCTTAACATTTACCCTTATTGTATACTTGAACATATTCTAGGATAAATCAGGTCTGCTGAAACACTTGGTAGCTCTGTCCCCTAAAACCAATATTATAATGTTTTAAAACTCTTTAAAAAGAATTAATATTTTATCCAATGACTGAAAGACATATAAAAAAAACACTGGCAATAACTTAGCTGCTCCACAATTCATTCTATGGTCCTAATTTAAAAGCTTTCTTATGTCTGAATCATTTTTAAAAATCAGTTTTCAAAACCTCTTTAAAATATTCTTATAAAATAATTTATTATTTCTGAATGAGTGGTGAGTCCAATTTATAGCAATATCATATGGTTCAGATTTGTATCAAAAATGGAGTTATTTATATGAAAAAGCATTGTATTAGATGATTTTTGATGCTAAATTGTAAAGGAGAGTTGTTTATGGTTTTTTTT